AGCCGTTCTCTTTATAAAATAAATCAACGTGTTCCACATTTGTAATCTTTCTAGGTTACGAAAAATTATCTAGCAAAAAATTTCAATAAAAAAATAATAAATTCTTTGTTGAATAATATAATATTTTTAACCTGTAAAATATTGTGATAAAACGGTAGAAGATAATGTACAAATAATAAAGTAAAAATGTAGATGAATTATATTTCGTTTCGGATTGTTTGATGTAAAAGTGAGACCACTGAGAACATGAGAACGTAAAATTATAAAATTATTTTTCATAATTAGTCATATAACGCTAAAATATCTTCTTCAATATCCCGTTCCGTATTGTTCATGCATTCAATATCCGGTCGACGTGTCGAGATTTATTTCCTTCATCGCTTTTCATTTTATCCCCTCAAATAAATTGTAGAGATAATACAATGAGATAACATCCAAGCGGAAATGTGGAAAGAGGATACGGAGGGCTCGCGATGAATAACATTAAGGAGTTATTAAATTATCTGAAACTCAATTACATACTCCATGGCGGGCTGCATCTGTACGCGCACCCCGGTGTATCCGAGAATTCAATCCTATTTTACGAGCGCTCCGTGCCCGTCCAATTATATCACGGAAAAACTAAGGTGTTATTACCATCAAGACAGTTACGAGGGAAGGGGATACTTGGGAGCAGTGTGAATCGTAGTGTACGTAGACTGCTGCTAACGAGACGTCCGCCGCATTTTCAACTAACAAGTCTCCATCTCGGATAACTGGTATCAATTTATAAAGAACTTCAGTGATCGACGATAGCAATTCAGCCGTTTTTGAGAAACTTGTGATAATTTTCGTCGAGGAAGAATCGGACACTCTTTCTCTCTCTCTTTCTCTCTCACACACACACACACACACACACACACACACACACACACACACACACACACACACAGAGTGTACACATATACAGACCACGTTCTGCCGGAGGCCTCGTTACAGTTTTGACGAATGACAACTGGAGTATCAAGATTGCGCTCCTGACTTTTCACGATAATGCTGAACAAAGATTTTCGATATCGGACGAAAGTTGCGAGCCAACTTCCGGCGAACAGCCCGGTAACGGCCCGAATGGCCGAGATACGTATACGAAAATTTAAAGCATCGATCACAGTACGAATTCTGCGGACCTAAGTTTCCGACTTCACTCTTTTAATTCGGGGGTTACGTAATTCGCTTCAAAGTTTTGGAATTTTGGACGGATGCGAATATCTTGGAGAAATGTTTGTCATAAATTTCAGCAAATATCTTTTATTACATAACTATTGTAAAATTTTATTTTACTAATAAATAAATTAATAAGAAACAATAAGCACGTACGCATATATTGTATATAGAATTTTGTATTGTACAATAACTCGAATCGTTTATCTTAATTAATGTCGCGCTGAATGCATTTTGATTACTCATAAGAGTTTTTGTCATTGTAATTAATCTTTCATCGTAATTTATCGATTCTCAATTATGAGCAATGTGATTAAATTGATGGAAATGCCGATTACAAAGGTATAAAATACAGCACATTTTCATTTATAATTAAAATTTATGATTATTTATCCTTATGATCATTCTCCTTCTTATTACTTTTTAACTACTATTTCAGTCGCCAGTAACTTCGTGTAAGAATACGTCGCACAATGCCGAAGACTTTCAGTCGCAGACATTACAAAGTGCCGTCTTTTCAGAACTTCGTTTGTATGAATTGCTTTTATCTTATACGTTACAACATTAAAATCTTTTCGGTAAGACGAAAGAGAAGCAAGATGGGAGGGTAAAATTCTTATCATTCCAAGATTATACTCAATATCGCGAACGCTCGGTAGAACGATGCTTTCTTGAAAATCAAGAAACAAAGAGACAGAGAGAAAGAGAGGAAACAAAAGAAATAGTCTCACATCTTTATATTAAACTTCAAACTATACTTTTAAACTTTCCTCCATTTCATGTTGTCTTGACTAATGAAATTTTCATCATGTATTGCTTAATTTTCAGAATTCGAGAACTGTCCACTGCTACGAGTATATTTTTTCAAATATTTCGTACTTTTATTATTTTCTTTTTTTTTTGCAATTACTTTATAGAGCAGGCAACAAAATGTGACCAATGAATCATTAAGAAATATAGGTAAAATTTTGAACAGAATTGTTTGTATACCGCCGACTGACATATCGCGCGTACTTCATCTCGCGGGAGTTGCAAACCCAGTAATTAAATACTCGGAAGCAATGCATTACTCGATTCGTGGTACGCGTTCATCGTTCGCGAGGCCATTTGCTGCTTTCGAGCAGGATGAGCGCGGGAAACGCAAATATCAGGTATCCAACAGGCTGGCGATCGAAATGTCAATAGCTCTCGCGCGAAATTAAATGTCAGGCTGACGCACGAAGTAATCGAGAGAATGGCGTCTCTTCTATGTATTTCGCTTCTTATTCGAGTACCACTGTTACTTCAAACGCAAAAAGACAGATTGTCAGCTCGCGCTTTTTCACGGCGCGACAAATTTTCGCCCTACGCGTAATCATGCCTTTTCTCTTCAACGCCTGTCCGCCTGAATGACTCAATGCTCATAGAGATAGACGTGCAAAAAATATACGGTAGGTATAGAGAGTTCTATTAGTTATCATTCAAATAATTACATTATATTGCACATTTTATTGGGTATAATAAGTACTATATACAAATGAGAAAATTATAAACAAGTATTCCGAAAAGAATTTTATTGCATCTTACTATCGAAATGTTTCTTTATGACTTTTACATTTTTTTATTTGAATATGTAATTATTCTAGTATAATTATTCTTTATATATAATTAAAAGTGTACAATAAAACATTCAACATTCATATATATATATATATATATATATATCATACATAAAATTTTGGAAATTAAATCTGTATTTTTAGCATTTAAAAAATTTCCACAAAACATTTATTCCAATGACAGATCAAAATGATTTTATAAACTAACTGTTAATATTTCAATTAATAATATTAATTTAACTTTATTTATCTAATAAAGTTTATTATTTATCTAATTGTGTAATTTTTAATTAAATGATAATTTAAAATTTATTATTACAGTTAAAATTATAAATATAATAATATAAATTTAATTATTATTAAGTCTTTTATAAAATTTAACTTTTATTAATTAATCTTCTTTTCTCTTTTGATTAGTATTTCATTCTGATTAATTTTGGCTCACTCTGGTTGTTGACCTGGAAATAATAATTAGGATATTCCAAGTTTTATTAACTAGAAATAACTGTCAGAATGTTATGTTGAATTTTATTAATCACAAGCTAGTTGAAATTTCTCAGCTAATTGCTGACCATGAAATTATAAAGATTCCATGCATTTCCTGAAAAATTGATTATCTCTTATGTTGATTATCTGTTATATCTGTTATGTATTGATTGTCTCTTATATCGAGGAAAAAGATTAAATATCGATGATCTGTCTAATTAAAAATCACAAATTACATTCTGTTAATAAATAACATTTATAAACATTTATAAATCTTTATTTAATTAGATATTTAATAATACATGATATTATTGTAACATACTCTATATCTATCTTTTTATATCTATAATAAATCTGACAATAATTATAGTCAAAGCTATACGAAATATATTAAAATGTTATCAATTTTCGAAAACTGACGATTAAAAATTTGCAGTAATATAAATTTATAAATCTTTAATTTGTAAATCATAAAATGGAAAAAATATTAGATGATATATATTATTGTATTCTACGCTTTTTTATATCTATTATAAGCCTGACAATAATTATAACAATAAAATAAGATAATACTTTATTAAAACTTTATAAAAAAAGCAAACAAAAAGAAATAAAGATACACTTATGTATAAAAAATGATAAGAAAATAGTAAAAAGTGGTAAAATAAAAATATTTATATTGCAATTGTTTGCTTTTTTCCTTTATAAGTAGATATCATGGATAGAGAAAGATGATTACAGTATTGTAAAATCAATATTGTTTTCATCTGCAAAGGAACTATATGTGACACTTGTATTTGTCATATTTTTGCGAAATGTTTACGTAGAAAATGTACAACCCACCTTTTGAAAGCCACCTTATTGGAAAGTGACTTGAAAAAGTTGTTCGCATCGCCTTGGGAGCATCGAAATCCATGCTGCAAAGAGTGATAGCTTCGCGGCAAGAAATCACCCTTAAGGCTTCCTGCCTGGCGATTTATGTCAAAGAAAATAAGGAAAGATTTAGAAAATATGTCACGCTATAAATATCACAGTCTGAATGTAGCTTAATATTACAGACGTTATCTTCTCCTCGTTTTCTATTTCTCGGTAAAGTCAGGAATAAGAAAATTATACGATTATGACGTTTATCCATGCCTTTCTATGTTATTGATTTCTCCATTCCATTGTTATGTAGACGTAAATTCTAGCAAAGATATTAATGTAACATACAATTAATTTATATGATAAAATCTCTTATTTCTTTATATCTAAAATTCTTTATTAAAATTTATATAAATTTGCATGTTATTTATTTTTTAAGAAATACAGAGATAAATAAGTGCACTTTTTTTCAAACTAAAATTATTAAAAATTATGGAAGAAACTGAATTTTATCTATATTAGTTATTATATTTAGCTTCGTAATAATATTTTTTTGTAAAATGTAACTATTCTATATATAAATATATTAAATATACTAACATATAAATATTATTTATTAATTTAATTAATGTATTTAACAAAATGTACTTAACAAAATTAATTTACATTCTCAATAAAATAACCGAATTGAAGGAAAGATATATTAAATAATTCTTTCGCAATTTTGCTTATTCCCTCCAGTGTATCCTTTTTATGTAGGTACGTCAATCGTATTTGCACAAAAATGAGGAATATGAATAATTTGCGTGAACTCTCCGAGTACGGAAATAAAGCGCAAAATTGTTTTATTGCAGAAACGATGGCGCGCTATTTCTCAGAAAGCGCTGGCAGTCCAAAGGAGAAACGGTATCATACCCAGTGGAATAACTCCAACCTAATTCGAAACCTACGGCAAGCCTTAACAGCCAGTGATAGCTGCCATTTACAAAAGAGCTCCGGACCAACGTCCGAAGTTTGGCACTTTGAATCGGGCCATTTGGCCCATCTTTCCGTACATTTGCAAGTGGCCTCAGCCACGAAGCCGCGATCGATGCTATCATCATTTCCGAGGAGAGGTAACTGCAATCCCATTCATTATACGTGCTATATGTAGTAGGTGCATACTACATATGGTGGAATTTAATATAGAATCATGGACCTGACGATGAAATTGTAGTTCCGTAATAAAGCTGGCGTGAAACCTTTCGAGAAATTTGGGTCAGAAACTAAAATGATAAGTAATAATATTTGATCGAAATTACTTTTATCATTTATAAAATACGTACATCGTGACAAATGGAAAATCGATAGTTTCTTCAAATTCCATTTTTTATATATTTAGGTAATAATATCATTTTTTTAATTTTTAATATTAAATGTTTTAGATCAAATAGATCGAATAAAAATTTTAGTAAAATTGTCATATAACGCCAAAATAACATCTTTCTTATCTTATATATCAAAGAAAATGTTTTTTTTTTCTTCATGAGACATTGTCTGTAGCATTGTACAAAAAGATCAAGTGATGTCGCACAAAACAATTTTGTAAGTTTCTTTGATGCGACTTTTTTAAGAGGGATTTTCGATCTTCCGCCTTGTTTCTTTGCTATTGTTATAATCTTGCAGTTCTAACATGAAACGAAGACCAGCTGTTTACTACAGTTTCACAGAATTGGCAGCAATCATCGACATGCGAACGAAAGCGAGCTTTATTTGCGACGTTGCGTCCCTTAAGGCCATTTTTCTAATATTCATTATACTTTTTGTCGCAAGAAGCATATATAAGTAAGTTAATCTTTTCGTGCGCGAACGCATTTACAAATTTAAATTTTTATAGTAACAATTAAACTGTTTTTATAGTAACAATTAAAAGCATAATTAATTCCATAATTAACTCCGTGCCGTAAAAATCAAGCTGATATTTGTAGTTACCGTTAAAATATTGAATATATGTTGAAAGCATCAATAAAAAATATACGGTCGGGAAATTAAAGCTTGATTTAAATAACGATTGAATATATCAAAATAGATATTTTTGACATCTAAAAGTAGTCTCATTTTTTATTCTTTAATTCATAATGTCCGTTAATTTGATCGTGCAATTTTAGTTTACGTCAAAATGGGCTGGCAACTATTTACGGACGATTTGTGCCGGTGAACATACGGTTAAAAGCGTTATACGGGTACGCTCTACATTCAGTCTGCGCGCAAACTAAATTTTGCAACTCCATTTATTCAAATTTTCCCAACTTCAACAAAAGTATCACCGCCACTGACACAGAGTTCACTTCATTTCTGTCACACTTCATTTCTGTCACACTCGATTATCGCAATCGATTATAGCAATCATACGTTTTCATTCCTTTAATCGGGTTTACCCGATAGGACGCCTCGATGCCTGCTTCAGTGCCTGCCGCTATTTTTCCAGAGAGAGGCACAATAGTGATCGGTTTTAATTTCCTTTGCCTTTCGGTCGCGCCGGCACTGCGGAGTTTTCTCATTCCGAAGCTTTACAGCGAGCAGTCGTACACACGAGTTCGTGCCGTGGAGCTGTGATTCAAGCACTTTCGTGTCCAGCAATTTGATACCAGTCACGTACGGAATACATTTTGAAAGAATGCAAGAGGCTACAGACAGGAATACTCGCACGTGCAAGAAAAGGCGTGTGCAAGTAATAAGATTGCGTTTATCTATGATAAAACAAAATTGTTCCGACATTATACGCAATTGATGTAATATTTCTGATATTACGAAGTACATATCGCTTATGTATTAAGAATTCTGATATTTAAAAGAAATTGGATTGGACGGAGAATAAAGCGACGAATAGCAATGTTGTCTGTTAAAATAAAAATTCTTAAAAAATAATAACTGTAAAAATAAAAAACTGTAGATGTACTATATTTCATTTCTTGTTTTTTTTTCATCTCCTCTTTTTCGCTCGACAATAGACGATAGACAAAGAAGAGAACATTTTATTTTTGAGTAAAAACTGGGACAGATCAGATTGAAAATTGAATATTCGTGAAATGTAAAAAATATTATAATTGAAATGCTTTTATCGACTTTATAATATCGTATTGACAAATAAAAGATCTTTTCAACTATTTGTATCTTATAAAGAAAATATAATCCAGACAAATGAATTTACTCAGTAAAGTTTAATTGTTATATCATCGTAAATTTTCTAGATCTAATCCGTTGTCCGTTATTATGTGTCACTTAAGGGTATGCTTAATTTTTCATACCACCTGCGTAGCCTGCTCCCATTTTCATCTTAAGTGGTCTAGACCTCGGAGTTTAGTCGAGGAATGAATTGTAAATTTTTAATGAATATGAAAAAGGAAAGACTGATATAACTAGAGAGATACTTGACTTCATTTCACTTTTATTGTTACTTTGCCAAATCTATTCAAAATTGTCTTCCAAAGTATGTATTTAAATTTTCTGATGAATAATTTTGTAAATAAAATAATCACGAAAACACTTTCTCATATTGTAGAAATGTAGAAATATCTCTTACAAATCCGAAGGTAAATCCGCGCGTTTCTAAAGATATTACGTATTTTAATTTGCAAACATTTGAGGAATTGCTTTTTATAATAATAAAGTTGAATTTATTTCGACAATTATATGTACTTTTTTTTACTCAATGTATAACTTTTGTTGTTGTACATATTTATATTCTTTTTTTTTATTTAAACGATAGATATATCATATTTAAAATTTTTTAAATATTAAATATTAAAAATAAATATTTATTCATAATTAAAGAAATAAGGGAGCACTTTTTGTACAATACTATGTAAAAATAAGTTCCGATTACGAAATCGGAGGAAGAATATACAGAAGACTATATAATTTTATCTCTGAAGTCTGACTGCATTTTATCCTATGTGTGTCGTCTCATCTGCGACATTTTCAAGCACCGATACACGGGCGACTTTCTCTGTAAAGTAGGTACTTCTAGTTTGGGTTGAGACCGTTCCTCGTAAAGCCTGCCTGCAAACTCCTTGGCAATTAAGCCGATTACGGCAAAGACCCGATTAACTAAGGTTCCACGTAAAGTTTTATTTTTCACTTTTCACTTTTAAGTGGCAGTTACCAAAAAAACCATTTTACGCATCGATCGAATGATGATAATAACATATAATTTTTCTATGAAACAATATTATGGCAAAGAGTATTTTGACATAACAATTCTTAAATATATATCTCTTGTTGTTCAAATTAGTTGTTCAAATTAGAAGCTATGTATAATATATAATAAAAACTTTTAAAAAATGACCATCTTCAATTTTATTTTCAGAATCTATAATTTAATAAAGTAAAAAGTTATATATTTTGATTAATATTAAGTAAGTTAATATTTTATGATAAAAAATAATTTTAAAAAACGGAGTTACGCAAATATAGTTTTCCTTTTATTTATTGTTAATATGGATTTGCTGCAAGTTTAATGGCTTGTAATATGAGAGAAAATATGCAGAGATTCGCATAAAAGATGAAGACTATTTCCTTGTAGAATAAGCATATGTTTGCCCGGTTACTACTTATTTTAGAGAACTGCATTTTAAATAAATCTGCGTAAGGATATATCCCGGAAATTATTTAATCGGGATAAGAGAAGAATTTTCCTTCCTTAATGTATATTTGAAGATGTCTATTTAATATAAAATACAAAAACCCGTTATTTATTCATAAAAGAAGGATATGCCTCAGACATAATTAACATTCAAATTAATTGCAGATTAAATTACTTTCGTATTAAATTTTGCGTTTAATTAATAATTGCTAAAAAACTGCTAGTATTAAAATAGTTTTTCTCTTAAATTTTTCTTTCAACATATTTTATATTTATATTTAGTTAACCAGTCTATCACACAATTAATCAAAAACATAATATTCCAATTTCATAATGCTATGGTCTATTAATTAGAACTATCTATTACGTAATTCGATGTTCTCAACTGATCTATTGTAAACAGCGTAGCTTGACAATCGACATAATGTGACAAGTGAAATGAGAGAATTCTCGTAGAAAACGTAGAAACGATGGCTGATTGCTTTGATCTTCCGCGATCGCGAGCGCGGCTCGGATTAGGTTGGTTCGATTTTTAAGTCATCTCCACTCAAGCCTCTCGGCGTGCTTTGAGCTTCGATCCTTCATACTTTGTGTCGTACGGTGCGCTTTTAAGGCATCGATGCTTTTCCTATTCCAGTCCCGTACGACACACACACACACTCTTGCGCTCAGCGCTTTTCATTAGCGGCGAAAAGCATTCGTAGCCGCTACAGACGGGCTCCGCAATTACTCTGAGACCGTAAGTGCACGGTGCAATAACGCGTGCTTATTCCGCGGGCATGCGTGCAGAAAGACCGACTTTCGCGACGCCGCACAATATTTTGAGCGTTTTATAACGATATCCGCGGCAGAGCAAGAACTAGGCGCAATTTTAGTTACGAAGCGCCGGAGTACCTCGCGTACGGAGGAAGGAATAATTTTTAAAAATCATTAAACGCAAAACGCACAAATTCTCTCAGAGAAAGAGAGAGACGGTTTATTAATATTATATTCCCACAGAGGTGAATACCGAGAGTGGCCGCGCTAAACTCGTTTTACATGCAGACAGATAAATATAAACAATCATTTGTTGATGATTGTTTTGATATGATATGCAAAACATACGCTGATAATTAATGCAACAGTCCAAATTATTTGCAATTGAAACTAAACGATGCGTATGTCTCTCGATTTAAGTGATATAAAATGTATGCATTCTAATAATGTAATTGTGCACGTGATCCTGTATACGGAAAACGACCATGCGAATGGTAATCTATATTAAATAAATAGGGAATTTTATTTAAACTGTGTTCGCAAACACAAGGCACCATATCCGGCATGCAGAAATCGAATCGTCTATTGTCTACCGTTGCGATACATGTTACGATTGTTTATTGAAAAGTAGCGAGTAATGGAGCCCGTTGAACAAAACACTTTTATTCGGGCTGTCTATTGACACATGCCATACAGCAACAAAACGAGGCTATTATTTTTTTTTTTTTCATCCAATGACAGGACCTGTGTGCTTGTTCACCTTTGGCTTTGAGTGTTCGTCTGTCATCATCTATATCTTTGAGTGTTTTTAGACATCCGAGGGCTAAATGCAATTTGTCGTTTGTGCGAAAAGTGCGCAAAGCTACGCGATCAATATATACAGAGAGAGAGAGAGAGAGAGAGAGAGAGAGAGAGAGAGAGAGAGAGAGAGAGAGAGAGAGAGAGAGAGAGAGAGAGAGAGAGAGAGAGAGAGGA